TGCATACAAGTTGAACAGATAGGGTGAAGGGATACAGCCTTGTCTGACCCCTTTGCCCACAGGGAACCATTCTGTTTCTCCATGTTCTGTTCTGATAGTAGCCTCTTGTCCTGAGTACAGATTCCTCGTCAGGACTATCAGATGTGTTGGCATTCCCATGTCTTTAAGGGCGTTCCATAGCCTTTCATGATCTATGCAGTCAAAGGCTTTGCTGTAGTCTATAAAGCACATACTGATTTTCTTTTGGGATTCCCTGGTGCACTCCATTAGCCATCATATGTTTGCAATGTGATCTCTAGTGCCTCTTCCTTTCCTGAACCCCTGCTTGGACCTCTGGGATTTCTCTCGCCATGTATGGTTGGAATCTATGTTGCAGAATTTTGAGCATGATTTTGCTTGCGTGGAAGATCAGTGCTATGGTCCTACAGTTGCTGCAATCTCTTGTGTCTCCCTTTTTGTGGATGGGGGTGTATATTGACCGCTTCCACTCTGTTGGCCATCTTTTTGTTTTCCATAGCTGTTGACATATGTTGGTTAGCACTAGAGTTGACTCTGTCAATGTGGATTGCAGCAGTTCAATTGGAATATCATCTGTTCCTGGTGATTTGTTTTTCACTATTTCTCTTATTTCAGTTTCCACTTCACTTTTTAAAAGGGGTTCATCTTCATATGGTTCTTCATTCCATGTGTCCTTCATTTTGTCATTTCTTTTGTATAATTCTTCTGTGTAGGGACAGCAGTAGAATATGGGAAGAATATACTTTTGAGAGAAGATCAAAAGAAGCCTGGAAGACCCAAAGGGGGCAGCCCAGGATGAAACCTCCATTTTTTTTATTTTTTTATTTATCCATCCATCCATTTGCCTTTTCCCCAGCATGGGATCCAAGACAGTATGCAATGTTTTAAAAGCACAATACAAATTTTAAAACTTTTAATAAAAAAAGTTAAAACATAATTAGATGAAATTTCTTTTTTAAAAACACAAATTAAAAACATTAGAAGACATTTAAAAATTATTATTATTATTATTATTATTATTATTATTATTATTATTATTATTATTATTATTTCCCGCCTTGCTCCCAATATAAGGACTCAAGTGAAAACACTACCTCCATTATTAAAATGATATTAAATGGTAATGGGACAATGAGATGAGAAAGTCTTCCCCTATAGATCTTAGAGCACAGGCAGGCTTATATAGAGAGAGACAGTTTTTCAAATAGTCCCCATTACTCCAAAGAGATGAGCATAAATTATAGACAGTGCTTGATGATATTTTTATACCAATTGTGCAAATCATATCAGATTTGCTGGAGTCAATCAGGATCAGTGTACAAGCAAATTCAAACCATGTTGTGATCTGTAGTGCCTCTTGGCACAGCCCTTCTCTGGAACACACAGCCTGCCCTCATACTGCTAATCTAGGAAAATGCAAGTAAGAGACTATTTTCTATTTTACATGATGCAGTGGGCCCTTGATATTTAATAAGGTTGGCTCCAGGATCCCTCATGATTCCAAAATCTGTGAATGCTCAAATCTTGTTAAATACAATGGTGCAGTAAAATTGTGTCTCTTATATAAAATGGTAAAATCAAAGTTTGCTTTTTGTAATTTATATTTTTGGGAATATTTTCAAACTGTGGATGGTTGAATCCATGGATAAATAATCTGTGGGTATAGAGGGCTGACTGTACCATATCAGGGTCTACAAGTCCCAGCATTTCTTATGTGTGGGCTGGAGGGAGGGACACTTGATGGGAAGTAAGAGAAGCACCAAAAGACAATAAGAGCAAGTGCTGCTGCTTCTTCATGTTACTGCCTAATTCACTCACATTCCTAAGATATAGCCATGTTATTCTGTAGAATCAGTATGTAGAGAGATCTTGCAGCACCTTTGAGACTAACAGAAAGAAAGAAGTTGGCAGCATGAGGTTTCATAGACTTAAGCCTACTTCCTCCGATGCATCTGAAGAAGTAGAGTTAAGTCTACGAAAACTCATGCTGCCAGCTTCTTTCTTTCAGTTGTTCTCATAGCATTTCTTTTATATTCCATTCTGTGCTAAAATATATGACACTCAATCTTGGGAAACTGGAAGAACCTTCTAAATGTCTATTTCAGAAGTATCCGACAGATCTAAGAATTTTCCTTAAGAAATTTTGCACCTCAGGGGGAAAAAAGTTTCAATTCTATTTTTGGAAAAGAATTAACCCCACACATATTATAGTCTAACAATTGACATTGGAGACATTAACTACCACTGCTGTCAAAAGTGGTTGATAGGGACACTGAGAGCCAGTGTGGTGTAGTGGTTTGGGTATTGGAGTAGGACCCCAAAGACCAGGGTTTGAATCCCTACTCAGGCATGCAAACTCACTGGGCTACCTTAGGCAAGCCACACTCTCAGCCTCAGAAGAAGGCAAAGGCAAACTTCCTGTGAAGAAATCTTGCCAAGAAAATCCTGTGATAGGTTTGCCTTAGGTATACCATAAATCAGAAATAATTTGAAGGCACACAACAACAGCTACAACAACAATGGGACTCTCCAAGATTTCAGGAAATTTTCCTTCCCAGCCTTTCCTGGAGATGCAGAGGACTGGACATGCCTAGCACTTGCTTGACTACTGAGCGATAGCTCTCCAACACTGACCATGCCTCCAGTACTGAAAGTATAATGATGATGAGCAAGGACCTGTAAATACTTTTGAAACAAGAAACCAGTGGCGATGGGTGATGAGAAGTAATCGCAGCAATGGCAGCCCCAGATTGAACTTAAAAGACTCCCATCCTGCCATGTCACAATCCTTAATAACCTCCTTCGTTCTTCCTGCCTCTGGCACACCCAAACCCGATACCCGATAATGGCTCTCATTCCCAAGCTCTGAGTGTGTTTGGAACAAGACCTAGGAATTCAGAAAAGCTTTTTTCCAGACAGCAAAGAATAAAACAAAGCAAGCTTCCACCAGCTGGTCCTGGCTCATTCTTCTCATGGGGCATTTGCCTCTGGCAATGTCCAGGCAAGGAGTGTCAGTTCGCACACGTTCGGGTGGGTAGCCGAAACTGTAGCAATGGCAAATGAAGGAGAAGGCAAGAGGGAGGAAACTCTCCCTACTGGAAATGTGCCACTCTTTACAACAAGGAATGAAGTTTCTAGCCCTCTCCACCTCATCTACATCACTTCTTCCACTTCCCATTCTCTCTCTTCTAGGGCACAAACTGAGTATTATTTGTTGATTATTATACCATTTGGGGCTGAGCTGCGCTACAGAAATAATCCATCTGATATGCAAGGAAGTAGACTTTGGTCTACGAAAGCTCATGCTGCCAACTTCTTTCTTTCAGTTAGTCTCAAAGGTGCTACAAGATCTCTCTACATCTCAGAAATAATCCACTTTGATACCGCTTTAACTGCCATGGCTCAGTGCTATGGAATTCTAGGATTTGTTGTTTGTTGTGGGACCAGAGTTCTCTGACAGGGAAAGCTAAATAGCTCACAAAACTACAAATACAAGGATTCCATAGCATTGATCCATGGCAGTTAAAGCAGTGTCAATCTGGATTATTTCCACAGTGTAGATGCAGCCTTGGGAAAGAAGTTATATATATTCTAGAAGCAGGCAACATTGGATTCCATTGTCTTTTACTCCCACACTAGCCTCTGTGCCCTTTGCCATACTGTTGCACGCACAAGTCCAGCTCAAGTGACCCTCCCGGTGTTTTAGTCTAAGATGCCTATTGGCCACACTCAGGTTGCTGAAATTGTGAAAACTGTAGTTCAAAACATTTGGAGAGCCAAAGGCTGCATCTGCACTGCAGAAATAATTTTATAATTAATTATAAAATAATTATTATAAAAATAATAACATTGGCTGCATCTGAATTGCATAAATGCACTGCAGAAATAATGCAGTTTGACACCACTTTAACTGTCATAGCGTAATGCTATGGAATTCTGGGATTTGTAGTTTTGTGAGATGTTTAGCCTTCTCCATCAGAGAGCTCTGGTGCCTCACAAAACTACAAATCCCAGGATTCCACAGCATTGAGCCATGGCAGGTAAAGTGTTGTCAAACTGCATTATTTCTGCAGTGCATTTCTGTAATTCAGATGCAGCCAAAGTCTTCTTCCCTGGTAAAATCAGCTCTATGACTTTCTGTTATGTATCCAGGTTCAATTAGCAGCCAGTGTTGTATAGTTGTTGAAGTGTTGGTTTATGACTCTGGAGACCAGGCTTCAAATCCCGACTTGGCCATAGAAACATATTGGGTGACCTTGGACAAGTCACACTCTTCCAGCCTCAGAGAAAGGCACTGGCAAAACCCCTCTGAACAATTCTTGCCAGGAAAACCCCATCACAGGGTCACCCAAAATCAGAAATTACTTGAGGGCACACAACAACAAAAAACAACAAATCCAAGTTGGATTCCTTAGCGTCCATTGTGTCACCAAACCGAGCCTCACCCCAAAGGTGTAGCTATGGAGGAGGGAATGGGGAAAAATGAAAGGATTGACCCCCAAATAAGACATCTGCTCCCAATGAAGTTTTCCTACAGTTCCCAAATTGCTAGCATTGCAGTAAACTTAAAACATCCATTGGGCATCTAGAAATGCAGATTAGGAATCCAAATTTAAAGGGGCAGGCAAAGAGATCAAGGGAATATGAACAGAGCAAACAGAAGAGTTCTAGGTGTGAATGGCTTTCACTGTCTCACTCTGTAATGCTAGAAATTTGATGACTGAAGGAAAATTTAATTGGGGACAGAATTTGCTACACACTGACTCACCTTGAATGTACCTTCTTCAAACCCACCCAATGCACCTCTACTGTACCTTCCGTTCATATGACAGCCTTGCATCACTCCATTTAATATATTGCACCCCAAACATCATAATAGACTTGCTGGATCAGAAATTACTATTAGGAAATTAACAGTTGCATGTTGCTTGCTATTTATTTATTCACTTTATTTTTGTTTTTCAAGCTAAAGACAAAGGAGGAAACGGGGGGGAGGAGAGAGAAAATGGGGCATTTTAAAAGCAACTAAAAAAGTTGGCAGAGGATTTCATCAGGACTGTTCCTGCTAAATTGGGACATTTGGAGAATATGGAAGGAAGTTGAATCTTGCCCTTCCCAGCAGGCTCAGGCAAAAGCAAACACCTATAGCCTCTCCTTGCTTGTGTTTTCTTCCACATTAATAACTTTTGCCATCTTGATCACACTCCGAAGTTGCCTGGTCACACATGTGCTGATTTTGATCTGTGAAATGTTGGAGGGTAAGCAAATGGTGATGGCATCAGACAAGGAAAGGTATCACCAAGGACAATGGAATCGTATAGACTAAGATTGGGAATCATGACCCCTCTTCAGATGCTGTTGAACTGCATGTCCCACCAGTCCTAGAGAGCATTGGTGGAGGATTCTGGGAGCTGTGGTCCAACATCTGAAGGGCTGCACAATTTCCATTGATCTTATGCTGTGGCACCATTAACCATTTATGATGTCATATACAGCAGCAGCTAACAATCAGTGATGCCATCACAGCCACTGAGAATAGTTCTAGAAGTCAAATCTTCTGCTTTTGGCATTTTATTGTATTTATTGTAGAAATCAATTAAGTGGTATAATCATTACCAATAGCATTAGCATTTACATTTCTATACCACTTCATAGTGAACTCAGCACTATTTAAGTGGTATGCATTCTGTAAGCCAGTTGCCCCCAACAAGCTGGATACTAATGTACTGACCTACAAAAGGATGAAAGGCTGAGTCAACCTTGGAGTCCTAAAATCGAACCCATAACCTTGTGTACATTACCAGCATTTAACCACTGCACCACCGGGGCTTCTTAATTGTTACATTTTAAATTTAACCACCTTGAAGGCCTTTTTGGGGGCCAAAAGGTGGGCTACAATGGTTTTATAAACAAATACCAGGATTCAGAAAAAGTGCTTTTCAGACTATGATTCCAAGATCTCTTGGGAATCCCCTGGGATTCTGGCAAGTGTGGTCCAAAACATCCTTTTCCAGACTAGTCCAACAAGTAACTTTTCCAAGCTCTGCTAACTTTTCCAAATTCAGAACATCCATAAAGGTCTGGCCATAAATGTCACACCTCTCCCCATGCAACATACCTTGCAAATGGAGGCACAGAACCAAGAGGAGGACCACTGAAGTCGTGCCAAGGAAAGGCCATCGGCCACGGCACCGAAAGCTCATCCCGGAGGCCTCTGAGGAGCAACCCTTCTGCTCTCCTCCACTAACTCTGCCTTGGGATGAAGGAAGGATGTGGCTCCCTCCTCCATGCTGTGGGGTTTATATCACCTGAGCCCAACCCTGCCCTGAGCACAAGGCGGGAGCATCCCAAGGCAGGACTGGGATGCTGCATTCCATGCGTGTTGTCATTGCAGGACGGCACACCTATTAGCCCTGCCATTAACCTTGTGGTGGAGATGAGGAGATTTAAGGTGGCTCTCTGGTGCTTTGGTTGAGAAGCAGGGAAAGCAATGATTTAATGGGGAGTGGATTCAGGATGGGTTGCAGCAGGAGTAGGAAACCATGAAAAGGCAGGGGCTACTTTTTGCTCCTTGTGGGCCACACTTGCACACTAGAAGTGGTACAAGATCACTTCTGGTTTCTATTTTCACCTGGTTTTCTAGACAAAGTTATAGTTCTTCTGAGAGGTTTGGCAGGAGCGGGGACAACTACCTTGCCAGTGCATGGTTTTCAAACTTTTTGGCAGTGTTTTTGGCAGATTGTTGTTCAAGTCATTTCCAATTCATGGCGACCCTATCATGGGATTTCTTTTGGCAAGATTTGTTCAGAGGAGGTTTTGCCACTGCCTTTCCTTGAAGATGAGAGAGTGTGACTTGCTTAAGGTCATCCAGTGTGTTTCATGGCTTAGCTGAGAATTGAATCCTGATCTCCAGAGTCATAGTCCACTATGCCACGCTGGCTCTGCCTGCCTGGAAACTCGGACAATTTGGGGCTTTCAGAAGATGCCATAGGTCAAAAGTGGATTTTGGGGACCACATGAGGCCTGTACTACATCATCATCATCATCATTATTATTATTATTATTATTATTTCTTACCTGCCTCTCCTCAAGGCTCAAGGTGGGAAACAACATAGGCCCAAACCACACTGCAGAAATAATCCAGTTTGAGACAACTTTAACTGCTCTGGCTCAGTGCTAGGGAATCCTAGGAATTGTAGTCTATTATGGCACCAGAGCTCTCGACAGAGAAGGCTAAATGTTTCACAAAACTATAGTTCCCAGAATGTCCTAGCATTGAGCCAGGGCAGTTAAAGCAGTCTCAAACTGGATTATTTCTGCAATGTTTCTCTAATAATAATAATAATAATA